TGGTGCTTTTAGCACATTTGTCAATCCCACTCTAACCTGTACATCAACAGAAAAGTCCCACAGGAACACTGAACCATTTATACCTACCTGAATCATGACACCAACATAGTAGTGGTACGAAGCAGACATTGTGCTGGACCACATTCAGTTATAATATGCAGAGCTATTTGATCTTAATTCATACTCTAAATGAACACTCACTCATGTGGCACTTACAACCTCATAAACCGCTTATTTGATGGAAATTCATTTTATTGGAGGTGAATTATCAAGTTATTTTTATTCTTATTACGAAGACCAGAACATTTACTGTTGTCTTTTCAATAGTGTTTTACTCATATTACATAATTTATAGGAATTAGAAGACTGAAATGTTTGTCCACACTCTAAACCCTTAGCTATTTGTACAACATCAACTAGATGACACACTTAGGCTACACAACATCACTAGGAGAAGCTGAATAGTAAAACACTGAAGCATTGTTAATCCTGCCTTTGACTGACCACGACCTGAACACAGTATTTTGCCGTTGCTTATATCCTTTGATTAATCTAGAGCAGTGGTGAACTGTGACTATTATATCTAGGCCCAGAGGTGGTGCCACACATCCAAAAGTGGTGGGGCAAAACTTATTTGTGGTGAAAATCAATTAGGCCACTGACTAAAACTATCTTTCATGGCATGCTGTTAACATGTTTCTATAAACCTATTGATGAACTGTGTCAGTGTCTGTTTTGATCTTGCACTTCACTGGGTTTAGCCTCCAATAGCAAACTCTTCTGGCTGACATCTCCAAAGAACATCAGGCTGTTTTAATACCCAGTTCATTTAATAAAGTCCAAACCAGAGTTTGGGTTTTTGTCACATTTATTTATTACAGATATCTTTTTCATTTGGCTCGGTTGGTCACACACTGCAACGACTAAAGTGCACCAAATTGCTGCGTCAAATTACACATGGATGTTCATTTATTGTCCAAAATTTAGCAAGAATACAAGTGTTTCAAATTCACAGCCATAAAAATGAAACAAATAGAAAACAGAGATGCTTATCATCTACGTATATCACAAACAAAACAATAGTACTAAATCGTACTTGATATCTGCTTATTTATGATTGGTTTACCAATTACAATTTACCCAATCAGGTCACTGGTGCTTGGCCAAAGATATGCCCTGTATATGTCCTGATGTCAAATATTACTATTATACATGCAAAAATAATAACTCCTACTGAGATCAATATTCTGATAAAATTGATCTGCCATTGTTGATTGGTGATTTGGTGAACTGGAAAAAAGTGAAAGTAATTTTAGCTTTAGTGTCATTCATGTGATTCAGGTTTAATTAAGCATTAAAATATGAAAGCACAGAAGTAAATCTAATGTAAACTGAAGGTAAACTTACCATGCACTTCAACATAGATTGAGTTTTCTCCAGTCTTTCTCACCTCATTGAGAGAGTAATTAAAAGTCGAATACACACAGCTGTAGTTACCAGAGTGTTGTTTGTTTAACATTATTTAAAAGGAATGTGGTAGTAATAGAGTCAATGCTACATTTCACTGTCCTGGTGCTCTTCCCGATTCCATTTAAACACAAGTAAACATAGACTTCAGTGCAGCTTTGATGTCCTGTGATGCTGCATGTCAGTGTCAGGTTTTCACCCTCTCTTAAAGAACTCTGTGCTCCTGTAATCTTGGCTGGCAAAATGTCTGTGCAGAAGCAGTAAACATAAGCACTCAGTGATGTAAGATGAATAAATGACAAACTGAGAAATATGACCTACCGAAAACGTCCAGTGAGGCTGAGTTACGTCCTGTTATATTCATCTTACATGCAGCGTCTTTCTCCACTGAATAAACGCAGGTGTACACGCCTGAATCTTTCACAGTAACTTCGTCAAAGACAAACATTATATCATCTTTACTTTCTCCCAGCTCAGCTGTCTTCATTGTGGCACCGTTCCTGCAGAGGTGCACATAAACCCTCTGTGTTCTTACATCAGTAACTTTGCACTTAAATTTCACTTCTTGACCTTCCTTCACTTTGGAGTTTGCAAGAAAAACCTCTGCTGGACTTAAATCATCAGGACTTTCTAGTTATGAGAAAAGAATTCCACAAACAAAATAATATCAAATGCTGAAATGTTTAGCAAAATGAAAGCAAATATAGCAAAAAAAGAACAAAGCAACATTCTTTCAAAGTGATCATATGAAGTGACACAGGTTACCTTTCTGAAGGGACGTGGACAACATGATCAAGACTGATAAATGAGAAAGAATAAACAGTATATGAGCAGGTTTTTAAAAACAACGTCTAAACTGCTAATTATATATAATCTGATCTTAGACTTTCTGCATTGGTGTTCAATTTTAAATACAAAGGCTACCAAAAAAAGTACATAATACTACTAAAGGATCCTATGACAATAATAATCTTACAAAAATGGAACCTTTCTGGTGATAAATAGAACCATTTTAAACGGTTCTTCAAAGGTTTATTTAACAAGACCAACAGGTAACTTTAAGCATTTCAGTGGTTTATGAGCTGTCACGGTTCTCAATATAACCACTGACTTTACTAAAAAAACTTTGAAGAACCCCCTCTGTTACGGGTCGTAGTGAATATTTATAGTTACGTGTCTCAATCAGCAGTTCCTTCATTTTGAACCTAGTTTCCTGTAAAACTCTTGTACTGGTCACTTCTCAAAGTCTTTGCATATCAGTCCTACTTTCTCAGGCTGCCTATATGTGTTTGATAAATTCAGTACGCTGCGTGGATGTGCCCTTTCACACCACTGTACTGACCAAGCAAACAACGACACAGACTAACAAGCTCAGACGTCATTCAAACTTTTGTGAAGGCTCTAGAATGTTCTCCTCTATTCAGCTTCGTTTATTTGGTTTGGTGATTATTTTCCAAACTTTGACGTTTGAATGACTTTCTATTTATTTGATTAGATTAGCCCAAATATGGATAATCTGACAGACAAAAATACATATAAATCTACATTATATAAAATAGACTGAATATCAGTCTGTGTGTTGAGCATGTGGAGGTGTGTATGCTAGATCGTTAATATTAGGTTTAAATATGAACACTGCCTTGGAGTTCTTAATAACTGTGGTGTTCCCCTCAGGGTTGAAGGTATGTGCACACCCAGTGAAATTTAGGGAAAAGATGTTTTTATCTGTAACACTTCACTGAATGGCAGCATTTGCAAGGCTACAGGACACCTACATGAGCCTGTCATAACAACTGACAGGAACCTACATATGCATTTATAAAGACTAATAATTCCAGTTCTAGAGGGCCTTATTCCAGCAAAGTTTGATGATGCTCAAGTACACCTAGTAACCACCTACTAAACTGAATCAGGTGTGTTTGAGCTGAGAAAACTACAGAAGGGTGACAAATTAAAGGAAAACCCAATTTCGTATATCTTAGTAAGGTGTTGGCCAGCACAGGTTGCCAGAACAGATTTAATGCACCTTGGAATAGATTCTACAAATGTCTTGAACTATACCGAAGGGAAGGGACTGTTCTTCCAAAAAGTGTTGACTGTGTAGACCATAGCATATTATTTACATCCTTTTCAAAATCATCAAACCATTCAATTATTCATCGTGTCCTGTAGATGGGGTCGTTTTCATCCTGGAAGAGACCACTCCTATCAGGATAGAAACTGTGAAGCGATATTGATACTGATTTGCAGTGACCCTTCCTTCTAAGGGGATAGGTGGACGCAAAACATGTTAGCAAAATGTTAGCCCCTCACACCAGAACCACTGGACCCCTTCCCTGTAGAGGTCATGCGTTCAGGCCTGTAACTTTTACTTAGTGTATACCTCAAAAGCACTCTTCCACTTGTGGAGAACACAGCGAAGGATGGCATTTTTTTTTTATTTCTAACAATGTGTGGAGACCAGTGTCTGTGGGTTTTGCACCACTGAACTCCCAAATTTGTCTTTGTAATGAGGGTTTTATGCAACCCTACTGTAACATCCCACTGTGAATTTTGTGTACAGACTGATCTTACTGACACAGTGAGTATTTAAGGGTCTCTGCAATGAAAAATACCAAATACTAAAGTCTCTGTGCAGGTACGACCACTGACAGTAGAGTGGTTCCACAATGTCTGTGGGCCAGACATTTATTGAGTCTCCATGGTGATGTCTTCCTGGATCAGCCTGTACTGTGAATGAGCTTGTGTTAAATTGGCTAATTGCTGTGTTGTGCTTCTAAGTGAAGATCTTGGCGGTAGGTCTACATCATGGAGACTGATTAAGAAGCTGTCAGCACTTTAAAAAGATTTGCTCAGGGTCAAAGTTCTCTTCACTGTTTTTGAAGAGATTATTAGAATCACATCTAAGCTGCACTAATGTTGAAGTGACCTTCTGGTATTCATGACCAACACAGACAAGATTCTTATAAAAGGGTCATGAAAGGCCCGGTTCTCAGTAAGAAAAGTTACATTTCACTGCGGGAGAGGTCCCCAAGCAAGCATACATAGCCCCTGAAGGGACTGAGAGTTTCTATACATTTTTTCATATTTCAAGGTCCTGCACACTGAGCTGCCAGTTTATTATACCTTTTAATAACCCACTGGCCATTTTATTAGACATTTCTACCATATAGGTGTCCTTTACAGTACAGAGTACAGTTGCTGGCTGTAGCCCGTTCATCAATCCCCCTCTAACTTTGAATCAACAGAAAAGAAGCCCCACAGGAAAACTGCTGACCAAATATTCTTTAGGTGGTGGACCATTTATACCAACCTGAACCATGACACCAGTAGTAGTGGTGTGTTAGCAGATGTTCTGCATAGGAAGCAGAGGTGACCAAGGTGTCAGTATGTAGGTAGTAAGTACTGTGACCGCAGCATATGTGAAATGATAAGTGAGTAAAAACATGTACAGTAACTGTGTGCAAATATAAATAGTGCAATAATACTAAGACATAAAGTCCAGTAACAGTGCAGTGAATGCAAAGATGTGATTAAAGTGGCAGTGTGGAGCTCAGCAAGGTCACAACCTCAGGGAAGAAGCTCTTCTTGAGCTTGCTGGTGAGGGAGTGGACAGCCAGAATGGGAGGAGGGTCCATAGTTAGGTTGAGAAACTTCCTTGATGATGTTCCTCGCTCTGCCCAGGCAGTGCTTGTGGTAAATGTGTCAATGGTGAGTAACTGTGATGCGTTGGGCAGTTTACACCACCCGCTGGAGGGCTTTGCGGTCAGATGCAGAGCAGTTGCCGCACCACACCGAGATGCAGTTTGTGAGTTTGCTTTTAATGACACAGCGGTAAAAGTCCACCAGTATCCTGGACACAGTTAAGCTTTTTTAGGCTCCCAAGGAAGTAAAGATGCTGTTGCGCCTTTTTGACCATGATGGAGGACTTTAGGGACCAGGTGAGATCATCAGAGATGTGGATACCAAGGAACTTGAAGACACATGCTCTACCTCAGCTCCACTGATGTAGATGGGGGAGTGTGCCTGGCTCCTAACCTTCCTAAAGTGCACTATGATCTCTTTGGCTTTCTGGGTGTTGAGTGACAGGTTGTTGTCATCACACCATGCCGCCAGGTGCTACACCTCATCCCTGTAGGCCGTCTCATTGTCACCTCTGATAAGACCTATCACTGTGGTGTTGCCTGCGAACTTGATTATGGAATTAGAGCCATAAACAGGAACACAGTCATGGGTGAACAGAGAGTACAGAAGAGGACTTGGCACACAGCCTTGTGGCATGCCAGTGTTCTGGGTGATGGGGGAGGAGAAGAGTTTGTCTAACTTAACAGACAGAGGTCTGTGAGTCAGGACGTCCAGAATCCAATTGCTGAGAGATGTGCTGATATCGAGTTGGCTAAGTTTTAAAATCATTGGAGGGGATCACTGTGTTAAATGCTGAACAGACAAATGAGCTTTGACAGTCCAGGTGGGTCAGTACAGTGTGGAGCACCGTAGAAATGGCGTCCTCCATTGACCTGTTGCGGCAGTAGGCAAATTGGTGTGGGTCCAATGTAGCAGGCAGACTGGACTTCAAAAGAGAAAGAACTAGTCTTTGAAAGCCCTTAGAGATGATGAAAGTGAGTGCGACAGGGTGGAAGTCATTCAGGGCTGAAGCAGTTGAATGCTTTGATACTGGCACAATGGTGGTGGTCTTGAAGCTAGTTGGGACAACTGCCTGGGCCAGCGGCAGAATAAAAAAATGTCTGTGAAGACCCCGGCCAGCTGCTTAGCACAGACTCTAAACAGCTTATTTGATGAAAAGGCCTTTTATTAGATTAATTACCAAGTGATTTTAATTATTATTATTTCTTGACAAGACCAGGACATTTAAATTTGTCATTCCAATAGTCTTTGTCTCAAATTACAGGACTGAAATTTTTGTCCACTCTCTCTAAGTGCCTGTGCACTTGATTGTGCCACAGTCTGTGCATAATATTTTGCCTTTGCTCGCTTCCTTTGATTAATCTAGAGCCGTGATGGACTGTGACTATTAGATATAGGCCCAGTTCAGCCATCGATAGCAAACTCTGCTAGCTAACATCTCTAAAGAACATCAGGCTGTTTTAATACTTAGTTCATTTTATAAAGTCCAAATCAAAGTTTGATATTTTGTGACATCTTTTTCATTTGGTTTGGTTGGTTTCACACTGCAACGGCTAAAGTGCACCAAATTGCTAGTTGAAATTACATGCCTGGGTGTCCAGTTATGGTCAGACATTTTGCAGGGATACATGTGCTTTGTTACTTTTACATTCACATTCTCTTGTGAACTAACACGGTTCAGAAAATGGTGGGTCATTGTCCCAGTACTCTCAAAAAGTGGTGGATAAAATGCCCGCTCACCCCTGTGATTCCTCCCTGCCTAGGCCTTCAGTTTGGGCCATGATTTCTGACAAGGATGAAGTTGGCTTCTTATTTGAATTTTTCCTACCACCTAAAAAAAAGGGTAACAGTTTCATTCGAGTGCCAGTTTTCCACAGGAAATTCAAAAAGGGCAGTTGTAGAGTAAACACAGACATTTTAACCCTCTAAAAGACATTCCATGCTTTACTTGAAACATGTAACAGGCATAGTAGCACGTGTGTCAGTACAGAGGCTGGTATGGAGCTGAAGCAAATGTTTTCTGTTTCTATCTGCACACTGATTGGCTGCCATTCATAGTCAGTCAGTGACATATCTAGGACTTCCAGAAGGTCACCCACAGGAAATCAAAATGTGACTGGTTGATTCCTCTTTCACTTTGTATTTATGCTGATAGTTAATTTAATGTGGTGGTGCTTTACTTCAGCTCTTGAGCTCATAACCAACAGAAGAACTCGCTTAGCTATATCTACCTAGATACCACGGAGGAAAACAATCCTGGCTGGCCACTTTTTGCACTTCAAAAATTTAACTATTCTGTTTCCATCCAAACCTTTACACTGAACAAGAGTAGAACTTGTTGTGTGTGATACTTGCATAGTTGAAATACAAGCAAGAATCTATTGACTAAAATTAACAAAAAATTACAGACATGCAGTTTCTAGTTCTCAGAAGTCATCAGGCCTTCTCTAAAAGCCTAGAAGGCCCCAAGGGTTCCCTACTGATCTAGAGTGAAGCAATTAACGCATCATTATATCAAACAACACTGCCATGCATGCAAAAATAATCATTCCAACAGAGCCCAGTATACTGATAACATTCACTGGCTTGATGCTCATATCAATTCACAGGTAAACTTCAGGTAAACTTCAGTACAGTCTTCATTTACTATGGTGCTACAGTGTCGCATCTTCACCCTCTCTTAAAAAACTGTGTGTTCCTGTAATTTCAGATTTCAAATATAAGTTCGTGCTTCAGACGTATGTGAATTGTTGGGAACACCGTTTTAAAAACTTTGGTGGCTGTTTTCTAAGCTGTGACATTTCTGACCACAGAAAAATTGTTGGCTGGATATTTTTGGCTGGGGGACCATTCTCAAGACCGAGGTGTGTAATAGGTTCAGCAACACCTCTATGCCTAATACACTCATACCAGCACCACACACACTACCTTATCAGTGTGACTGCTGTGCTGAGAATGGATCACTACCCAAAGAATATCTGGTCAGCAGTGGTTCTTTTGTGCATCAACAGATGAGTGATAGACATTTTTTGTAAACCCACAAAATGCAACTGATAAAACTGATAAACAGATAAAATAGCCAGAAAGCGTAGGTAGGTGTTAAACTGGTGACTCACAGTGGTTGTTTGTGTACAACAAATGCACAGTTTCCAAATCAACAAACAAAATAAACTTTTTAATGCTGAAATATAGAAAACATTCCCATAGTTCTCAATGTGCTTTATAATAAACAGGGTACACTGTCCGCTTAACTGAGATGGAGCTGGACAGTCTGTTGTCATACATTACCACAGCCCACCTGTAAATCACCACTCAATCACTACATATGATACTTAAATAAGGAGTTAATTTAATGGAAATCCTTTTATTTAAATTTGTTATTAGAATTCTTACAGGTTTTCTAGAGTAGATTTTTACATTCTACATTCATCTCTTTATAGATACCTGTCCAAATTTGCTTTATTAAAAAAAAACAAAAAAAAACGTCCATTGTTGTCCACTTGTGACCAGGGTCCTTTCTGTGTGGAGTTTGCATGTTCTCCCTGTATTTGTGTAGGTTTCCTCTGGGAGATCCGGTTGTCCACTTGCTAACCCACCTCAATTACAGATACTTGATCATACACTTAAAGGTGAATTCCACCGATTTTTCAAACATTCTGCATATTTCAATCAGTAACATGTAAACAGAGTCATTCAGAGAAATAATTGTGTTGATGTAAATGCATTTTATTCATGTGGAAGTGATGTAAAATTTAAACCAAATAAGGTCAAGACATTTCTTTTTCAGTGTCTTCTCAGTTTTATATGTAATATTGATGATGGTAAAGTAGTGGTAAATCTGACATAAAAATAATTGAATGAAAATGAATAAATGAGAAGTGATAAAGTTTCCTTTGGTTACTATTTGCCTTATAGCACACTGGCTGCAACTCTTCACCATGAATAGGGCAGCATAGGTGTAACCATTTCATGTAATAATTTTCTGTGAGGTTTTAGAGACATTAAATACTTCAGACGTCTGGTTTCTATCACCACCACTGTGAACAATACTGACTGGGTAACTTTTTCTAGAACAGCACATCGGAACAATCTGAATGACTTTGTTTACATCTTAACTGTTTGATTAGGCAGAAATTTTGAAAAATTTGCAGAATTTTCTTGTAAGTTGTACAACACCCCACTAAAGACGTTGCATGGTAAGAACTGAAGTTTTGTTACTCTTGCCTTTGACAGAACCGCAGCCTTTTGACTTTGAATGTACTACAGCATAATTAACATGTCCTAATTAACGTGTCCTGATGTCAAAAATCACTATAAGGCATGCAAAAATGATCACTCCTCCCGAGACCAATATTCTGATAAAGTTGTTCTGCCACTGTAGACTGGTGATTTGGTGATCTGAAAAAAAGTGAAAGGAATTGTAGCCTTAATGTCGTCAATGTGATTCCGCTTTAATTGTATCATAGCATTCTGAAGGAGACCTGTTGACACAAAGTTACTCCAAAATTACCCATACAGTAAAAGAGTAAAAGCCGTTATTACACAGCCGTCTCTCTGCAGAAAGAAAAATGGAGCAGCATTAAAAAATGAATAAATATGAAACAAACAAAACTGGCATTGCTTACCAAATACATTCACTTGAATGTAGACAATGTTTTCTCCAGTCATTCTCACCTCACTGAGAGAGTAATTAGAAATTGAATACACACAGCTGTAGCTACCTGAGTGTTGTTGTTCAACATTACTGAGAAGGAAGGTTGTGGAAAATGAGTTACTGCTGCAGTTCGCTGTCCTGATGCTGTTCCCAGTACCATTTAAACACAGGTAAACATAGATTTCAATGCAGTCTATATTCACTGTGATGCTGCATGTCAGAGTCAGGTCTTCACCCTCTCTTAAAGAACTCTTTGATCCTGTAATCTTTGCTGGCAAAATTTCACCTGAGAGCAGAAGCAGATAGATTACCAAAAACATAAGCACTCGGTAATATAAGATCAGTGAATGACAAACTGTGAAACATGGCCTACCGAAAACGTCCAGTGAGACTGAGTTACGTCCGGTTATATTCATCTTACATGCAGCGTCTTCCTCCACTGAGTAAACGCAGGAGTACAAGCCAGAATGGTTTACAGTAGCTTTGTCAAAGACAAACACTGCATCATCTTTATTAAGTTCAGTTGTCTTTAATGTTCCACCATTCTTGCAGAGGTGCACATAAACCTTCCCCGTACTTACATCAGTAACTCGGCACTTAAATTTCACTTCTTGACCCTCTTTCACTTTGGAATTTGAGAGAAAAATTTCTGCTGGATGTAGATCATCAAATCTTTCTAGTTATGAGAAAAGAATTCCACAAGAAAAAATCAAATGCTGAAATATTTAGCTAAATTATAGCAAATGTGGCAAAAATGAACAAAGCAACAGTATATAAGTGAATGACAAACTGAGAAATATGACCTACCGAAAACTTCCAGCGAGACTGAGTTACGTCCTGTTATATTCATCTTACAGTCAACATGTTTCTCCACCGAATAAAAGCAGGTGTACAAGCCAGAATGCTTTATAGTTCCTCTGTCAAAGACGAACACTGTGTCATCTTTATTTTCTTCAAGCTCAGCTGTCTTTAATGTGTCACCGCTCTTGCAGAGGTGCACATAAACCCTCTGTGTTCTTACATCAGTAACTTTGCACTTAAATTTCACTTCTTGACCTTCCTTCACTTTGGAGTTTGCAAGAAAAATCTCTGCTGGACTTACATCATCAGGACTTTCTAGTTATGAGAAAAGAATTCCACAAACAAAATAATATCAAATGCTGAAATATTTAGAAAAATTAAAGCAAATATATCAAAAAAGAACAAAGCAACATTCTTTCAAAGTGATCATATGAAATGACACAGGTTACCTTTCTGAAGGGACGTGGACAACATGATCAAGACTGATAAATGAGAAAGAATAAACAGTATATGAGCAGGTTTTAAAAACTAAATTCTGGACTGCTAATCACATTACAGTTTAAACTGTGTCTGTGTACAACTATAAATACAAAGACCACAAAAAAGTTCTACATAATACCAATAAAAGGTCCTATAACAATAACAACCTAACAAAAGTGGAACCTTTTTGGTGCTGTATAAAACCATTTTAAAAGGTTCTTCAAAGGTTTATTTAACAAGTTCTAAAGTCATTTTAGATCTTTAAATGGTTTTATGGGCTGTCATGCCCCTTTTAAGGACATAGTGGATATTTATACTTACATGTCATAATCAGCAGTTCCTTCATTTTGAACCTTTAAAACTGTTATACTGGTCACTTCTCAAGGTCTTCATATATCAGTCCTGCTTTTTCATGCTGTCTAAATGCTAAATGTTGATAGAGCTGCACGGGTGTGCTCTCACTAGAGCCACCTCCACACTGACCAAACAAACAATGCCACGACACACACCAACAAGCTCAGATGTTAACTTCATGTAAACTTCTGTGAAGGCGCTAGAATGTTCTCATCTTCATTCACCCTAATTGTGTGGTTTAGTCGTTATTTTCCAGCCTTTGATGTTTGCTTGATTTTCTATGTATTTGATTAGGTTTGCCCAAACATGGATGATCTAACAAACAATAATAATAAATCTACATTATAAGACGGACTGAATATCACACAGCAGGTGTGTGTTCAGTATGTGGAGGTGTGTATTATGGGATGGCAAGAAAACATTAATGTTAAGTTGAAATATGAACACTGCCAACACTTCATACAGCAATCATACAGAGTGCCCTCCACAAATACTGGCACCCCTGCAAATATGAGCAAAATGGGCTTAAAAAACATTCTTTATTACTTTTGATATTTCAATGAAAATATAAAAAAACAAATCTTTATTTGAAATACATTGATTGAAAGGAAAAAAAAGTAAATCTTTTCATGAAATATATTTCTGAAATGTGTGTGTCACAGTTGTTGGCACCCCTTCATTTAGGACTTTGTGCAGCCTCCCTTTGCGAATATAACAGCTCTAAGTCTTTTCCTATAATGAGACTGGAGAACACATAACAAGGCATCAGAGACCATTCCTCCACACAGAACCTCTACAGATCCTTCAGGTTCCGAAGTCCCTGCGTGTGGGTACTCCCTTTTAGGTTTTTTTATGGGGTTTAGGTCAGAGGACTGGAATGGCCATGGCAGAACCTTGATTTTGTGAACCATTTCTGTGTTGATTTTGATGTGTGCTTTGGTTCATTGTCTTGCTGGAGGATCCAACCACAGCCCAAGTTAAGCTGGCTGAGCAGTCAGGTTTTGATTTAATATCTATCTATCTATCTATCTATCTATCTATCTATCTATCTATCTATCTATCATATCATTTTAAACAGAAATGCATGGATAGATAATTTTTCAAAAAGTAAAAACAAGTTATATTTTTCTCCTTTTATGCCCATAGCAACAAAGGAGTCAATGGTGTTTTTTGCAGCATGGGATGGTGCATTGTCCAGTATAAAAGGGAGGCACAATTGTTCTTTTTATACCATAACAGAAAATGGTTGGTCTGCATATCTTATACTTGCATATCTTATATCTTGTATCCTATTTTAACATCCTAAAGGGACCCACCATCTCACTTCCCAGTATTCCGGCCAAATCATCATTCCCCCTTGCTGACAATCACAGTCTTGTTGGAACAGGGTGGCCAACCATCCAGAACTCCATCTATCTGGACCATCCAGTGTAGCACAGCATGCATCAGTGGATAAAACAATAAAAATTTCAAAATTATTCTTCATGTATTTCTGAGCCCTCTGCGAACGTCTCCCTTTGTGAGCTTTGCTTAGGTGTGGCCGAAATACAGCTTTATGCACAGCTGCCAGCCTGTGGAGGATCCTGCATCAAGAGGTTCTTGAGACTCCAGAGATACCTGTTTGCTGCTCAACAGTGCTTAATTAATAGCTACCCTTTTAATATAATTAGTTTTTCTGACAAGAACTTTCATAAGCCTTAATAAGCCTTTATCTGGCCTCCTTTATCTGTTCACCTGTGTTCTGAATTTCTCACATATCTTTTCACAGTTCGATGATCTCTCTTCAGTACTCATTAAATATCATTTTTTTTCATGCCTTTTGCAAGGCATTGCACTATTTCATGCTTTTTGTCTTTAAAAAGATCTTTCTTTCTAATCTTTGAATGATAAAGTTTACTTCTCTGCATTATCTGCATCAGACAGCATATCCATAACCATTTCATGCAAGAGCCATCTGTGAAGTAGCTTTTAGAGGCATTGAACACTTTGGATGCCTGGTTCCCATCACAACCACTCTGGTTTCTCTAGAAAGAAGCATTTTTCATCAAGTGACTTTATTTATGTCTTAATAATTCAATTAAGCAGAAATTTTGAAAAAAAAGAAAGAATTCTCTTTTAACATACGCACTACAACACTAGAGAAGCTGCAAAGTAAAACACTAAAGCATTATTAACCCTGCCTTTCACTGTGCACCTTTGTCTTTTACATAATTAACGTGTCCTGATGTCAAAAATCATTATCATGCATGCAAAAATAATCACTCCTCCCGAGACCAATATTCTGATAAAATTGATCTGCCACTGTAGATCAGTGATTTGGTGATCTGGAAAAGAAGTGAAAGGAATTTTAGCCGTAGTTTTGTTAACATGATTCAGGTTTAATTGAGCCATTAATATATAAAAGCACAGAAGTAAATCTAATGTAAACTGAACGTAAACTTACCATACACTTGAATGAGAATGGACTTCTGACCTCCTGTTTGCTTTGCTTCACGGGTGTCATATTTTTTGGAAGTGTAGACGCAACTGTAGATACCCGAGTCTTCCTGACTCACATTTCGAATAGAAAAATGTGCATGACTTTTATTATGTAAAGCCTTTGATAGCCTTTTATCTCCATCCTTCAGCAGGTACATATGGAGAGTAGAAGGTTCTAGGTAGTCGGAGATGCTACAGGTCAATTTTATGTCCTCTCCTTTAGCCACAGTGGTCCTTGCAGATTGTATCATAGCATTCTGAAGGAGACCTGTTGACACAAAGTTACCCCAAAATTACCCATACAGTTGTTCACAATAAAAGCTGTTATTACACAGCTGTCTCTCTGTAAAAGTAAACAATGTAGCAGCATTAAAAACCATTCAGTAAATATAAAATAAACAATAAAAGCATTCTTTACCATGCGGTTGAATGTAGACAATGTTTTCTCCAGTCATTCTCACCTCACTGAGAGAGTAATTAGAAATTGAATACACACAGCTGTAGCTACCTGAGTGTTGTTGTTCAACATTACTAAGAAGGAACATTGTGGAAAATGAGTTGATGCTACAGTTCGCTGTCTTGATGCTGTTCCCAATTCCATTTAAACACAGGTAAACATAGACCTTGGTGCAGTCTTTATTCACTGTGATGCTGCATGTCAGTGTCAGGTCTTCATCCTCTCTTAAAGAGCTCTTTGTTTCTGTGATCTTCGCTGGCAAGATTTCACCTGAGAGCAGAAGCAGATAGATTACCAAACCCATCTATATGCAGTAATCAAAGATAATTGAATAACAGAAATATGACCTACCAAAAACTTCCAGTGAGGCTGAGTTACGTCCTGTTATATTCATCTTACATGCAGCGTCTTTCTCCCCCGAATAAACGCAGGTGTACACGCCTGAATCTTTCACAGTAGCTTTGTCAAAGACAAACACAGTATCGTCTTTACTTTCTCCAAGTTCGGCTGTCTTCACTGTGGCACCGTTCTTGCAGAGGTGCACATAAACCCTCTGTGTTCTTACATCAGTAACTTTGCACTTAAATTTCACTTCTTGACCTTCCGTCAATTTGGACTTACATCATCAGGACTTTCTAGTTATGAGAAAAGAATTCCACAAAAAAAAACATATCAAATGCTGAAAAGACTTTAATAAAAAAGAAAAAGACATACTTCCAAAGTAGTCACGTTATGGGTTACCTTTCTGAAGAGATGTGGACAGTATGATTAAGACTGATTCATGAGAAAGAAAAAAAATATATATACAGGTTGTTAAGATTTGTTTTTCCAAACAGTAAATTATGGCAAATAAGAGAATTAGAAGATAAATTTTAGTAAATCTTTAAGTAAAATAAGTGAATCTTAATTTTATATAAAACTGAACGTCGAGGACTACCATCGTGAATGTTAATACTTACATGTAACCATCAGGATTTTCTTCATTTTGAATGTGGTTTGCTGTGACTTTGTTTTTACTGGTCAGTTCTCAGAGTCTTCATACATCAGTCCTGCTTTTCCGTGCATTTGATAGTGTTCAGTCCACTGTGCCGGTGTGCTCTCACTGAAGCCACCTCTAGACTGACCAAACAAACAATGACACGCACTAACAAATTCAGACTTCGGGCATAGGTGATTTGTTGAGAAGGATCAATGATATTCTCTCCCTTTCATACTATTTTATATATAATTTGTGATTATTTTATGAAATTTGACAGCATATACTGTATTATTGTTGTCCTAAAAACACAAATATCTCCAAAATGATAATCAATCGTTTCATCAGTCATTTCTGTTGGTCCATTGAGATACATGTTTTTTGTTGTTTGTTTTGTTTTTGTTTTGCTTTTTTTATTTTTGTTCTTGTTTTTTTGACATTATACTTGTGCCTGTGGGCAGATGACATGGATGTGTGTGAGTTGCACAAAACTATCAAAGTTAACTTTAAATGTAAACACTGCCACTGCAGTGAAATAGCATATATCTAACATTCAGTATAATGAATTTAATTTTAAATCCCATGACAGTTTGTAGTTATTTGGGGCTGACAGCTAACTACAGTGTAGTTACAGTTCTTAACACGTGTTGAACACTGTTCATAAGGCTACATGACACTTACTTAAGTCATTTGTTTAAAAGAAAACATTTTACATTCCATTGGTGTCAAGCTGA